GTCCTTTCTCTTTTCCTTCTCGCATCGTGCGTAACCACTTTTGTTCTCTTCCATCAAGTTTATCGCATGAAACCGGAATAGTAAAAACTACGTAAAAAATCTCCTTACGTTCAACGAGAAACGTTCGTTAAGCGCGGAAACACCGAAAGAAGACACAAATCAATATTACACATAAAAGAAAATTATGATAATAATAATAATAAAAAGAAACAAACGTGACTCAGAGGTGGTGGAGGAGGAGAAGGAGGAGAGAATACAGGAATGAATGATGCCCCCTGCACTCGTCGAATCATTCATCGCGATTTTTCGTTCGCGTCGCCACTTGTAAGAAAAGAAAAACAGAACGACGGTGAGCAAACGAGGAAAGAGAGCGTGTTCCGCTTCTCTCGACGAGCTCTCCCTCTCTCTCTCTCTCTTTCTCTCTTTCTCTCTTTCTCGCTACCTCGCTACCTCGCGGACGGCGAGAGGTTCGATTTTACAGGGCCCGATCGATCGTCACTCATCCAGGATTCATCGTCGATTAATTTGCCGATCGATGAACGCCGCGCGCGCGACCGGCTCGGGTGTACACGTGACGCGAGGGAGGGGGGGACCAAGTCCCTGCTCGTACATGAGGAGGCTTTCGTGCAGCAGTGTGTATGTGTGCGTGTATGCGCGCGCGCGCGTGATAACGTTGCAGGAGCTGGTCGCTGCGAGTACTTTTTCCAGCCACGGGAGGAAGAACGCGTTGAATCGCTCGGCTCGGACAATAACCGCCTTCGCGTGCGGAATCCTTCGGCTACGAGTAACAATGACGCGCGATTAATCGCGATAGCCGACGGGGAGCGCGGCGACGATGCTCGCGGAACAGCGTCGCCTCGGACGATGAAAGGCCAACGAGAAGCGCCGGGCGCTGTATCGAAATTACGCACCGAGCAAGATCATCCAAGGTCGAGTGTTTCAGCGATAACAATAACGAGGGAGAGAGTAACCGGTGGAAAACCAAGGAAAATATCGATCGACGACAATAGCGGGACGTCCCATCGGGCGAATATCGTATTTTCGCCGACGTCGCGCCGGCGGAAAATACCGGGAAACGAGTATCCGCGCCGAGGGAGATATACCCTTCAAACTTCCACAGCAGCAGAAGTTTCAAATGTTCTCGACGATTGTAAATCGTCATCACGGTGCAATCGGACCGAAAATCAGATTTTTATCATCAACAAAACTGCGTCGTGAAGCACGAGGCCTCGCGGGAATCGACCATTCGCAACGATATTAACCGTTTCTACCGCGTATGCTCTCTTCCCCCCCCTCTCTCTCTCCCTTTTTTTCTTCGCTCTACGTTGCAACGCGCGGCGACAACGACGATCCTCGAGCGTCCTGTAGATGAAGACTCGCGTCGACCGTCGTAGCCGTAAAAAGAGGAGACGCTCGTAGAAGTTAGCGTTTGCGGAAACTCACTTGAGGTGAGAGACGCGACGCGACGAAGCGAGGTAAAGCGAAATGAAGCAAGACGGGACGAGACGAGGGCCGCGGAATAGGTCGTCGCGGCGGCGCGATCGAGCGTCAGCGCTCGGCGAGAGATACGAGGGGCGTCCAGGAAGGTTGAGGGGTAGGAAACTGCGGCGGGGGGGGGGAGGGGGCAGTGGTGGCAGCAGTAGTAGTAGTAGTGTAGTAGAGCGATAGGCGATAGGCCGGCAATAGAGGCACTCCGGCTGCGCCGGCGGCTGGATCTCCTTAGCATTAACACGCGATATACCTGAAAAACCAGTTTGCGGGCTTTTTATTAGGCCTTTACTTTCGCTCGCGAACTGAAAGTAAGAGTGAGCGAGCGAGGCGAACGAGGCCTGTTAGCGAGCGAGCTAACTAACGGGGTCACCAGTCGATACGGATACGCACGTAAACGGAGACACACACACACACACACACACACACGCACGCACACGCACGCACGCACAGACGCATACATACGCGCGCAGGGGTATACAGAATATACAAGAAAGAGAGAATGATAAAGAAAAGGAGCGAGAGTCAGAGACGCAAGGAGAGGACAAGATAGAAGATAGCACACACGCGCACGGCATGTAATAGCGCGCGTGTGTGTGCGCGCGCGCGGATGGACCCGAAGGAGAGTGCGCGCGGCCGACCACGTTTATCTCCATCTCTCTTTTACCCTGCCGGCACCTCCGCGTATATATAAAACGCATATACACACGCGGACGCGCACGGGCACATCCACGGCGAGTGCGCGCGGCAGCGCAACGCGCCGTCGCGTCATTGCCGCTGCCGCGCGCTGACACTCTCGCGCTGCTCGCGGTATTAAATAATTACGGGATCTAATAAAGAAAGTTATGCAAGCCGCCGCCGCCGCCGCCGCCGACGCGGGAAAGAGGGCCCCGTTGCGCGACGAGGAGAGCAGCGCATCGGTCGATCGTGATGTTACATAGTAACGCGTTCACGTTAGCGTTTCTTCTCGCGGACGACCTTCTCCGCGTGGTCACCTTTCACCTCTCTTGGTCGCGCCACTCCGGGCGCTCTCTTCAGGGCGGAGGGTAGTCTCGAATCCGTCCCCGACTGTTTCCCTCTGTCCTACGCTTCTCTCTTCTTGTCCCACCCACTCTCTCGCTCTTTTTTCTCTTTCTTTCTTTCTTTCTTTCAATCATCGCTCTATTCTGAGCGCACGCGTCGCGAGTTTCAGGCTGCAGGGGAGAAATTTCCGAAATAACCCTACCGTCACGCTACGTGGGATGTCGCTGAGAGGCGGCGAGTTCGCTTTAGCGGCGGATACCGCGACGCAACACGATTTACGGTAACTCTCGAGCGTCGGAGAGATTCCAGGCGTTTAGCCTGCTTGTAAACGCGGTGTAAATTTTGTACGCTCGGTACCGTGAGAGATGTTAACGTTCTCGTTGTACGACACTTGCGTCAAGCTGTGCTTCTTTCTTTCCCTCCCTCCCCCTCTCTCTCTTCGAATCACGCGTCCTTCCTTTACTATTCATGTTAAGGTTTCTCGTTAAAGAAAAGAAAGAAGTGAAAGAAAAGCACTGTTGGTCAAATATATCGCCTTCCCCTCCCCTCCCCGAGTTCTTGTGTATGAATGTATCTCTCCGTGCGTGTATATGTGTGTGTGTGTGTGTGTGTGTGTGTGTGTTTGTTGTATGCGTATGTGCGCGCACGCATGTGTGGGCGGGTGAGTGAGTGTTGTGGGTAAGTGGGTGGGTGTGGTTATACGTACGCTCGCCCGCGATCCCGCTGAAACGAGAGAGAGAAACGGCACGGAAGCGTTTCCCTCTCGATTCGCACACGACTATCAACCTGACCGTGCCGGTCGTAGTTCTCATAGTCATAATCATAATAACCATCATTATCATATCTCGAATTTGGAATCTTATCGCCTTATACACAGTATCTAAATGAAATGTGTTCACAGCCACACATTAATTATTTATACATAGATTTATACATATATCTATATATTTAAATATATTTATATATATATATATTTATATATTTTTTTTCGTAGCAAGACGCCACGCGCTCGCAATCACGCGTCTCTTCCCTCCCTCCCTGCCTCCCACCCTCGTCGAACCCCCCCGCCGTTTTTCTTCGTTTTCCTCTTTTGTCACTTTCCTCTCTTCCTGGTTCGCTTACCGCGCATCGGTGCCGTGGGAGAAAAAAAAAAAAAAAAAAAAGAAACGAGAAAGCAGGACAAAAAAGCCGAGCGATTTTTCAAGCAGGAGGTCTCGCGCGCCTCTCTCGCGATCGAGTCGTCGATCCCGAGTCGCCCGTATTTTTTTTTTCTTTTTCACATCGACGTTTTTTTTCCGTTCCCTTTTCCATCGCAAAGTTCCGACGCCTCCAGGTCCCATCGTCGCTTCCGCTTCCTCCTCGGCATTGTCGAGAGGATCCGTCCTTCCCACTCCGTCGGTCCGTTTTTCCGCGCTCGTCCCGGGAAGATTTCCACAAAACTCGCGCTTAGTCAATTAAAAGCGACGGCAAATTTCTCTCGCTTCGCCGTGGTTTCGTTAACATCCGCTGCTTTGACGCGTCGGAGGAACGTCGCCGTCGTGTGTAGGGGGTATGTATGTATGTATGTATGTATGTGTGTGTGTGTGTGTACGTGTTCGTATGTGTTCATGGGTCTCTCCTAAGTTTTCCCCGCGCGTCTCCTTCTCCGCGATCCTTCTTTTTTTTCTTTTTATATTTAGGCACAACACATTGTTTCTGGAGTCTCTTGTAGTCTTTTGGTCGTTTCACCGAAACCGCAGCCGGTACCGTCTTGGTCCTAAACGTCGATCGTCGCTACCGCGGCCGTCACCGTCGGGGAGGGGATCGGTGAAGCGCAGAGAGCGCGAGCGAGAGAGTCTTTTCGATCGACCGATTTATATCTCTCTGTCTCTCTCTGTCTCTCTCTCTCTCTCTCTCTCTCTCTCTCTCTCTTTCTCTCTCTCTCTCTCTCTCTCTCTCTCTATCTCTCCCTTTCTTCAATCGTCGACATCACGCGTCCACTCGTCGAACGCCTCTCGATAGTCGATCTCGGTTACTCCGCCTGCCGGTGATCCTCAGGCAGCGAAGGTGACTTTCCCGCTTGGTATCCGAACTCGGATCAACCCGACGATGAGTTGGACGAACGTCAACTGACGACTCGAAACCGCTCGACGTTCGGCACGAGCGAGTCGTCGATTTCGTCCTCCTCCTCGTCCCCCGCGCTCGCGGTGTCTTCGGATAGACCGTAAGCGCAGCAGACGTCCGCCGGTTCCTTGAGGACACAGTACAAACCGTAGATGCAAAAATAATACACTCCGCACTCGTATCTGCGGCACCAATGGACGTAAGGGTGGTCCATGTGGATAGGCTCGCAGCAATTGACGGCGTTCGTTCCACCTCTTCTCTTTCTTCTCCTGGTGGTTCTTTCGGCGAGGCCGGTGGTGATGTCGGTGGTGGTGGTGGTGGTGGTGGTGGTGGTGGTGGTGGTGGTGGTGGTGGTGGTGGTGGTGGTGGTGGTGGTGGTGGTGGTGGTGGTGGTGTTGGTGTTGGTGGTGTTGGTATTGTTGTTCTTCTGCTTATTGTTGGTGGTGGCGGTGGTCGTGGTAGTAGTGGTAGTGGTAGTGGTGGTGACGATAGAGGCGGTAGCGGCAGCGGCGGCGGCGGCGGCGTCCACGGCATCGATGCCGTCGCATCACGACGAGCACGCCATCCAGTTGCAGGTGCACGTGTAGCACGCCGCCGGTATGACGGGCGTATAGTAGTAGCCGTTGGCGTAGACGTAGGTGGTTGGCGGCGCCTGGGGCGCCTGCTGATGACTCGTCAGCCGCTGCTGCTGCTCCTGGCAGAGCACCTGATACGCAAGGTTCTCGATCAGGGCGAGGGTCTGCCGTCGCTCATGGCCCATCAGGCAGACGGTAGACTCCTCAACGACGCTGTGCAGCAACATCAGGTACTGGTACTTGAGAGTCTCTTCCTCGGGCCCGACGAAGTGATTCCACAGGTAGTTCTCGAGCTTGGCGCGCTGCTGCCCTATGTCCGGGAAGTCGATAAAGAATCTCGAGCACATGTACCGCTCGAGGGTCTTGATGTAGTCCGGCTGCGACGGTTTGTACATTTTCACGAGCAGGTTGCAATACTTGAGCAGGCCGCCGCCGCGTATCTCCTCGGGGTGCCTCGTCGAGATGAGCTTCTTGTGCAGATGATAGAGCGCCTCCTGAAAGTCACCGTACACGGACTCGCCCACCACCGTCGGGTAGAAGTTCTCGCCGATCGGCAACTTGCTGCACTCGTAGAACAGCAACAGGGAATCGAGAACGATCTGGAAGGAGTCGACCGAGAACTCGAACTGCCGCCTCATCGAGTCGACGAACTTGAGCTCGACGTTCCGGTGGCCCCGGGAGTTGCCGAGGGAGATCAGGGACCACCGGTCGCCGTCGTTGTTCACCTTCACCATCTTGCTCACATAGGCCTCCTTCAAGCTGCACGTGGTGATGCGCTTGCGGCTCACGCCCTCCGGCAGCAAGTCGAACAAGGAACCGAGCACCGCGGCCTTGACCTTGTCGTAGTTGCGGCCGCTGGATAGTTCCACCGCGAAGATAAGGTCCAGGTCGTTGTAAGGCTGGGACTCGGTGGCCAGCACGTGGGAGGCGGCGCCGCCGTTCAGCCGAATGTCGCGTACCCTCATACCGGCGCCTCCGTTGCTCGGATCGGTCTCCAGCTTGCTACGCACCACCGTCACGAGGTCCCTCAGTCTGACCTCCAGGGTGGGGAAGTTTCCCCGGCCGTGGATGCTCACGACCTCGTTCATCACGTCGTTCAGACGGCGCACCTGCTCGAAACTCAGCACCGCCAGCCTCTGCTGCGGGTCGGCGCAATCGCCGGCGTTGCTGTTGCTGTTGCTGTTACTGTTGATGTTGTTGTTGTTATTGTTACTGGTGTGATTGTTGTTGTTGTTATTGTTGTTGTTGTTGTTGTTGTTGTTGTTGGCCTCGTTGAGACCGCCATTGCTGATACCGTTGGTTTTACTGCCGTTCACCTGGCAGAGCGACTCCATCATAGCGACCCGACGCTGGCGTTCCTCGCCGATCTCCAGGGAGCCACACTGCAACAATCACCAAACGACGAGATTTTTACGACGGGTTCTCCTTCCTTCTTCTCCCTCTTATCGCGAGCGAAATGAACGACGCATTAGCGAAGCGCAAACAGAGAAAAGGACGCACGAACAAACGTGCGCGATTCGCGCCTTTATCAGGACTCGGCCGACGTAAATCCAATCCCTCGCGAACGCCCTGCAAACGCTTCTCGATTCTTTCTCTCCCCCTCCCTCCCCCACCCGCTCTCTTCTTCTTCTTCTTCTCCCTTGCACGTTTCTCCGGCAGATTATCCCCTCGTCGGAAAACACTCGTCGCGTCGCGCGAAATTTACGAAAATGTTTGCGAGGCGCGACGTCGGCTATTTTCCGCGAAAGCTCGCTCTTCTACGCGCAATGTCACACGCGCGCACACACACATACACACACACGCACCCTCTCTCTCACACACCCGAACCATAACATTTACCAGCGCGGGGTTAAAGGTCGATTAAGCGTGAAAAACGTTTCAGCGTCTCGCAAGCATCGCGCGAATTTCCGAGGTGCACTGCGCGCGCGCGCGCAACACACACACACACACAGACACACACGGGCAACTGAGCGCGCGCCCTTCAGCGAATATCTATGTCATGGTGCTCAAAGTGTACGAGTGCACGGCGAGAGAAATGCCACGAGGTTACGTCCGGGTGCGCGACGTACGCGCGGAGCCAGCCAAGGCAGCCGCGTATCCCATTCGAAGAGCCCTCGGCTATTGGCTTTCATACGTAGGTGTGCGCACCCGCGAAGGTGCTGCGCAGCAACAAGTCCGAGCAAGTCGTATTTCGACAAATTCTCGATCGGCTCTCCTTCATTATCAAAACTGCAATCACGCGCGCTATTCAAGCGCGCCGGGCTAGTCGCCTCTAACGAGTCGTCGCGACACGTCGGAGAGAGATGGCAGATTACGCGAATGGGCGAGCGGAGGAGATTGGAGGTGTATGAATTTCTCGTGCAGTTATCGACTCGATATCTCTCGCTCTCCTCGCTCCCCCCCCCCCGCCGCCCTCTTTCCGGTGAAACACAAGTGGGATGAGTTCATTATTATTCGCGGACCTTCGGGCGACCGGCCGACCTGTCGTCGAAGAAATCAGCCGATCGATCGTTATCGGACTCCCTCCCGCGTTCGTATCCCGCACGCGATCGCGATAATCGCGGTTGAGAGCGAGATCGCGTCGGGAGAGACCGCGATTGGTTATTGCAATGTAACAATAATAACAACGACCGCGCTAACGGCCAGTTGACCGATTGTACTCTCTCGCGCGCGCGCGCGCGCGAGAGAGAGAGAGAGAGAGAGAGATCTTAACCACTTTGCACGATAACGCGGTACCGACGAGCCGGCGACGGGGCGGAGGGGGGGGGGAGGGGGCAGGCTCGAAAACAACAAAGCAGGCTGTCATCTCTACTCAGATACTACGCACAGTCAAGGTCACGGATGTGTCTTTGACTCACACAAGGTAGACTGTTATTACCGCTTATTGACACACGAGAGCCTCTCCTGCCTCGGAAGAGCGGACGCTTTCAAACGCGGCTTCCTACAACGGCCTTTCGCGTTTATTACTCGATCGGCGGACGAGAGCGAGAGGATCCCGAGGAGAATCTCGATGCCGTAACTCGAGAGTCAACGAGATAATATCTCGGGGAAATTATAACACCGCGAGCAGCGGAGATCCACACGGATAACATCCCAATCTCATGTTTACCGTGTCGAAGGCGGACACGGATAAGCTCCCGCATGACCGCAATCTCTCGTAATTCGAGCAATGAGGCAACGTCTCGGGGAGTTATGATCTCGAAATGTGTGCGGATCTCGAGATGATAACGTCCCGAGTTTTTATCAGTACGCTGTAGAATATACACCAGTGTCCTTGAAACGCGCTCTCCCCCCCTCTCTCTCTCTCTGTCGCTCTCCGCTCGAAACCTTGATACAAAAGAAACAACGTAGCTCGGACGTCACCGAAGTCACCGGAGCGCGTCGAGGAATATACGAGATCCCGAAGAAAAAAGTCCACGATCGCGAATCGATGTTCAATCTTTTTTCAGGATCTCGTGTATTCCCCGGCGTCTCGGTAACTTGCTGTAACTCTGCCTCTCTCGCCACGCTGTCGCCCTGCATCGATCTCGACGGCGGCGGCACTCGACGTCCGTCCCGCCACACTCGCGCGCATCACCGAGTTCCCGATGAGCCGCGAAAGTCAAACTCCCTGAAATCTCACCCCGAGAGGTCACGACCTTTTCCCGGGGCGCCGCTCCGATTCCAGCCGGATTTTCCTCCGCGGAAGCGGTCCTCGCCGATGAAAACGACCTCCAGACGCGCACCCGCGATCGTCGCCCCGAGACGACGACGACGACGACGACGAAGTCTCGCAAGTCCGTCCGAAAGTTTTCGCGACTCGACTCAGACCGATTCGCGGTGTCGTCGCGCGCTCCTCGCTGAAGCGACGAGAGAAGACGACGCAGAAAGCGGCGGCGGGCGACGCAATCACGAAGTGAAGTCTAATTACGACGTAATTCCAACTTCATCGCGCGGGTAATGGGACTTTACGAGCGGAGGCGGCGGCGGCTTTTCGCACGACGCAAGGTGCGTGCCAGACATGCGTCACGACAAAAGGGTTACTCACGTAAACCACCGTGTTACCAAACACTATCATCTGCCCGTACTAACGACGTAACGAGCGAGCGGGTAAAATTCCCAACCTTCTTCGCCGCGTCCGCGACACGGAACTTCGGCAACACGTACGATGCAAGCGGACGACAGCGAGGAAGCACACAGCACCTCGCTACAGCGGCTACAAGACACACCGGCTACCCTGGACACGCGCCGTCGACTTACTCGCTCTCTTCGTCGCGCCACGTCTTTGTGTACCGCGCACGTACACAGCGAGGAAACACCGCGAGGAGGGCTTTCGCTCGCGAGAGCGCATATTACGGACGCATATCTCGGCGGGAGTCACATGGAATTGTTCTTTTACCGATCTCCGTGTCAAGAGAGAGAGAGAGAGAGAGAGAGAGAGAGAGGGAGGGAGGAGGAAAAGAGCAGAAAGCCGTACTTCCGCCTTCGCTTCTCGAGCTCGGCACTCGCGAGTAAGACGCAATAATGACGGAGAAGACGCGTGCGCGCGCGCGAAAGAGAGAGAGAGAGAGAGAGAGAGAGACGCTTCTCCCACGTGCGAGCGAATTCGCGAAGAGCGATCCCGCAGAAGTTGGCCGCGCGTTGACAGGTGAGAAAGAAAGGAGAAGACAGGTGAGAAAGAAAGATCGAGATAGATAGATAAAGAGGGGGGAGGGGAGACACGTACCTAACACAACGGATACTGGTCGCACTAGTCGCGCGCGCGCGAGTACCTCAAAGAGACCCGCAGCTGATGGGAGACACCAGCGAACTGAGTCCGCGCGCGCGAGTGAAAGGCGGCGACGACGACGACGACGACGACGACGACGGCAGCGGCGGCGGCGGCGGCGGCGGCGGCGGCGGCGGCGGCGGAGAGGGCTGGTGGTGCGGTGATGGCAGCAGCGGCAACAGCTACAGCAACGTCAGCGACACCCGGGGTGCGGGAGGACAAGCCAATATGAAGCCCTCTACTGCTGCTGCTGCTGCTGCTGTTGCTGCTACTACTACTACTTCTACTTCTGTCGTCTCGACCGGCACCAACACCGCTTCGCGTTACCAATATAGCCACCGCCACCGCCGCCGCTGTCGCCAGCACCTATAGTTGCCTGCCGCTACCACCCCCCGCAGGGGGGAAGGACGTGGTCCTGGGACCATCGTCCGTATACGCGCACCCTACATCGCTTTGTCTCTTTCCTTTTTCCTCTTCTGAAGAAACTCGCTTATCGCTCTCCCTTTCTCCCCTCCCCTCTCTCTTCCTTTCTATATATCTGTCCCTCGGCCGCTTGCTCACTCGCGCGCGCGCGAACGGCGTAGTGAATGCTCCGATACTTTCTATGACGTCACGCGGAAGAATGCGAGGGCGGCTCTGAATGGAGATCGTAGCGCGCGAGGGTAAATTCGATTCGACCCCGTCTCCCTCAGGAGAGGATATAGGGTGTCCCGGTGATACCGGGTGTTGCCTTTTGATTTCCGGCTGACTCGTCACCTTTTCACGCACAAAATGTACGCGCGTAGAACGCGCAAGAGAGGAAGACTTTCATCATCCGAGGAGAGCTTTTCTCGGGAATTTTCACGGCTCTTCGCGCGCAAACACACGTCGGAGAACGAGAGAGGACGCCGCGGCGCGCGCCCGCTGTTCACCGGCGCGATGTTAATTGAATTCAACTTCTGGCGGAATACCTGAAAGCCCCACGAGCGTCGCCGGCGCGGCGGGAACAAAACTACGCGCAATTGTTGGCCTGTTGCGCAAGCGAGAGCGAGTGGGAGAACGAGTTCAGGCGAATTCAGTTTGAGCAATTTAGAGCGAGGCGGAGAGAAAGAGAGAGAGAGAGAGAGAGAGAGAGAGAGAGAGAGAGAGAGACCCGATATCGAGCGAGTCGCTAAATCCGAAGTAATCTTCCAAGGTGGACTGTCTCTCGTCGTCGTTTCTTCGCCGTCCGGAACACCCGGTGTGCACCCCTACGTGTGATACGAGCGAGATAGGGGTAGAGAGACGCGTCACAGGTACGTACATATATATTTCTAGTCGCCCACGCTTTAATGCCGGGGCGAGATAGAACGAGAGAGAGAGAGACCGAGAGCGGGAGAGAGGCGACCTGGACCGACGAAGGAGGCGGAGGCGGAGGGACTCGCCGAGTGCTATCGATTTTGCCGACAGCCGTAGTCGTGGACTCGCGTCAAAGCCGGTCGGAATCGGGTTTTACGTGTTACACGCGGCCGCCGCGCGGACATTTCGGCCGGCGCGCGGCCCGAGCTCCGACGAGAATGTCCAGCCGCCGGTTTAACGTGCGAGCGAGAGCGCGACAAGTGGCGGAGAATTGAATGGTGTTATTTATCGGCCAGGCGCCGTCGCGCCGCGCCGCGC